ATTATTGAACACATTCATAATTATAAATAAACATTTTGTTTACCTAAGTTATACATGTATGACAGTAGACTGTGGCTCTTAAGGGATACGAAGTTTGAGTGTGTTGCAAAGATGACAAACAGTCCCTTGAGGCAGGAAAGAGGTGGCTGTTTCCTTCTGCAGCATTCCCTATAGTCTAATTATAGAACAATACCTGCGTCAGCTTGGTCAGCTTGAGGGAAAGCCACTATCAGGCTTCTCAGCTGGAAGTAAGTTATGTAAACATGATGGGAAAATGGAGACCTCTAAAAGAGAAGAACAAGAATAGAGGAGAAAGAACACAGATGCTTTTTATTTGTTATCGTATTTCAAGTACTTTCATCCACTAGCTAAATAAACCCTGTTACAAATAAAAAGCACAAATAAGATGTATCAAAAGGGTAGACAATTGGCAATTGTGGCCAACTGGAGAAAGTGTTCACTGCTTTTCCAAGGGGAAAAAAAATAGTAGGAGAGGGCCCCAGTAGTCTGTCGACTTAGAAATGCAGAAGTTTAGCAAAGAAAGAAAATTGCGGGACTTAAAAATGAAGCAGCTGAAATGTCCAAATGGACATCGGATATGAATAAGTAGTTAACTATTCATACTACTTACTAACTACATGAATAAGTCATTAACTAGCAAGCATGATGCTAATATGTTGGAAGAAGAAACAGATACAGCTAGGAAATTAATTGGTTTGACTCTATACCCTATATTGGCTTTCCTTTCTGTCCACAGAGACCCAGCACAGGAATATGTCCATAAAACTATTGAGTATTAGAAAAGTCATGACACATTTTTGCATAGAAAAACACAGGAAAAAAAAAAAATACATCATGACTTTTCCGGCAACCCAGTACAACAGTTCAACCTGCCAGAACTGACAAAATGGTAAGGAACAGATAGGAAAAAATTTTTCGTGACTTGTATTTTATGTGGGCACCAAATAAATAATTTTTTAAAAAGAATTATTTAACTTTATTTATTTTTTATTTATTCATTCATTTATTTTAATTTGATCAGACAGAGAGAGAAAGAGAGAGGGAAAGTGAGAAAGCAAGCCACCAGGTCCAGGACTTGAACCATGGTCAGCCATGTGGGAGTGTCCAGCACCTTAACCACCATGCCACTCGCTGGTCCCCCCAAATAAGTAATTTATGTTGTCATTTTTAACATGTAGTTTTAAAATTGAGATTCCAAAACTAAGGGTTATGGGCACCAATATGTATTTACCCTAATGATCAAGGACTTCTGGAAACCACAGCACAAGGCAGTGAAAGGTCACAGAATACGCCTTTTGTGTATTTCAACCAAAATATAAAGTCCCTTATTACAAATGTTTTTCACTCAGCAAATAATCACATAAAGTTTAACTTCATATACAAATAATTAATCAATCAGTCATACGACTCTTTAAAGATGTTTTAAGATGCTATGTTAGAGTCATACATATAAATAGCAGCACCAAAAGAAAACATTAAAAAACATACAAAAAAATCTGTTTCATTTTCATAAAAAGATTTTTGCTGTCTTGCCAGAGAGACAGAGACAGAGAGATAGAAAGTGAGAACTCCCCTGGGGGGATGGCCACCCGGCATTTCCTTCTCTACATTCTCCTCTCAGAGAGATTTTGGGCACGCACGCACCCACACTTGGTATGAGTTTCAAGCTACTGAGTCAGGGCCTCAAACCAGGGTCGACCACGTAGGAGTCCAGAGCCTTAACCAATACGCCACTTAACAGCCCTTTATCTGTATCATTTTCTTTTTAAAATGTAATTATTTTTTTATTTTAACTTTATTTATTTTTTTTATTTGATCAGAGAGGGACAGAGAGAGAAAAAAGTGCAAAAGCAAGCTGCCAGGTCCACAACTCAAACCATGGTTGGCCATGTGGGAGTCCAGCACCCTTAACCACCATGCCACCTGTTGGCCCCTCTATATCATTTACTATTGAAAGATGAAAAGCATACCTCACGTTTAGAACACTGAATATCCATTTGGCAATGGGGAAAAAAAAAGCTGAATGCTTTATTACAACATCAAAACATCTAATTAAGAAAATGCATTAAAAGTTAACTGGGAAAACACATGGGACTGAGTCAACCCCTAATCCTGACTTTCAATATTAACGAAGATGTAGGTATTTTCCTTTTTAATACCAATGAGTAAAATCTAGAACCTTAGCAATCCAGAGGAAAACTATGTCTTTACTCAAAATGTAATGTTCTAACATTTTATTTGAATTAAATTCAAGTCAACTGTATACATGAAGTTTCATAAGAAGGAAAGCAAAATAAATCTTATTTATAACATTATTCAAGGGACTCTAATTTGCCATTTCATACCCAAATTTTACCATACCAAGTGCCCAGTATATAGAAATCATTGGCTGGACCAGCTGGTGGCATAGTGAAGACAACTAAATCCCACATGGCCAACTATGCTGTTCAAATCCCAGATCCAGTAGCTTGAAAACCATTCAGGGTACGTGTGCATGCACCTACACTTCCTAAGGTTCTTTCATGAATTTAAAAAGCCAAGCCATATATTGGGTTATTAAGAAAGTCCTGAAGCATTTTTGCATAGAAAAATGGAAAAATACATCATGACTTTGGTGACTATGCAACAGTATGTGTGAGAATACACATACTACTTCTTTGATATAAAAAAATGGTCTCTTATGTATTAATACTGCTGATAATTAGTCACAAAAATTAGCAATAAAAAGACAACTCATACAAAAAAGTCATGACTTTTAGAGAACTATTAATACTTCCTAAAATCATTATTTCTTTCTCATTTCTCTCATATGCTTAAATACATAAAAGCAAAAGAAGCTTTCTTTAAAAGGAGATTCCAGTCTTATACTACATAATATAAATTTCATAATCATTTTTATTTCAGGGAATATCAGAACATAAAATGGAGTAGAATTCTCAAATCATTATAATATTTAATTTTCAAGTCAGTACTTTCCCTATAAAATATTAACAATTTTACATATCCATATAAAAATATTTAAATTCACCTGTAGATAATAATGAGTAAGGGAAATCAAATATATAAATCATGCTTTATTTGTATTTACATTCATATAAATAAATAAATAAATAAAATGT